CTACTCCTCCCCCTCCCACTATCCCTCCCACTCCCCTTACCCCTCACCCGCCCCCTATCCTCCCACTACCCCCCCCCCTACCCCGCCCTCTAACCCAGGGCACCCCCCCCCCTCCTCGCACCCCACTTCATGTGCTGGTCTCTAATTGGTGAGGGCTGGGCTAGGCCTCGTGCTCGTTACTGGGTAGATGGCAGTCAGCTGCTCGCTCAGCGGATCCCTCCGTGCGGTCCATCGCTGCCGCTCAGCCAGGCCGCTCGCTCACTCAACGCAACGCGTCGTGTTAGAGGCATCCCGGACCACGGCAACGGTGTGAAGGAGCGACGTCAGTGGCGCGAGTTCACGTTGAGACGTCTCCACGTGGGGTCTCCCCGTGATGGCAGCCCCATGGTCTCCACGTCTCTCGCCGCTCAGGGCTGCGCTGACACCCGGCGTGGGGAGCGGTGGCAGAGCGGTTAGCGGCGCGCTGCACTTTGAACCCGGGCAAGCCGAGTTGGATTCCCGCTCACGGCCACCAACGCCAGTGACGAATGTTCTGAACAACCGGTCCTAGGCCTCCCCTAGGTCGACTCGGCCTCAAATGTGTACCTGGTGTGGTGTGTAGTAAACATCGCCACAAGGGAGACAAAGGCGGCCGGGCGTGGTGCTGACCATCCACCCCATCGTGTGCCACTGTGGTGGCCTTCACAGGTGCTGCTACCTGCTAACAGCACTTGCCCCAACAGTCTGTTAAGGCTACACGGGGATCATTGTCGTTGTCTCCGCTAGTCTGAGCTGTGCTGCCATCGAGTGATACAAAAAGATCGATGTAAGTCGTTTTTTACCGCCTTAAATACAAACAGCTGATTAATACAGAGGCTGGTTGCTTTGGAGACGCGCGCCACAGTCGCTATGCATGGGGACGTGCGTGGTGATGTCACCACGCACAGCACGTGACAATTAGTGACTATCTTTATTCTTTCGGTAAAGTCACGTAGAATGGGAATAAAATAATAAAAATAAGGTGAAGAAACAGGACTGTCCAGAAGACAGCGCTGAGGAAGGCTACTTGTGTTGTGGCCGAAACGTCGTGAGAATTTTATTCTGTTATTATTATTTTTATTATTTTATTCCCATTCTACGTGACTTTACCGAAATAACACAGAAGATGAATCCCTACAGTCAGGAAAGCTTTAAATCGAAAATTAGTGACTACTTCAGCACTAACCGGTTGTGTGTTGGAGAGTGAACCCACTACAACGTTGACGATTTGAGTTCCGTGACGTTTCGCTGGTAACTACAACAACACAAAGCAGCTGCATCAGGCGATTTGCCAGGCAAGGCCCAATGAGCTATGCAGCACTTTTATAGTTCTACTCACAGAAGCGACCTCGCCACACGTAACGATAGCTCAATGAAGTGGCTTGTCTCGTATAAATTTATAGCAGCCAAGTACTCATAATTCTAAACGTGGAGGTAAAACCAGATTTTCCAGAGAAACATCCACGTAACCACAGGGAAAGAGAGAGACACGGAAACTCCAAATATACAGCAGGCATCAGGGTCAGGACCGAACGCACGACCTCTTGTACACCAGGCGAGGTAGTTAACATATCCTAGCCGCCGTGGCGCTTTGATGTGGAATGATGCTCTGAGCCTCGTGTCAGTGTCTTGTGAACCATGATACTTCTCATCCTATTGTCTCCCTCTGGTTGACTGTCAGCATCCTGAGCATGAGGATATGATAATCGCTTGTTTATTTATGAAGATCATATAATATGAAGGAGGAGGAGAGAGGAGAAGGGATGAAGGGTGGGAGGGAGGGGACAGAGGGAGGGAGAGAGGGGAGACACTCTATCCCACACAGACGGAATAGATCTCCATTCTGAGGGGCTGGTGACCGGTCTTGCGTGGGGTTTGCTACTTTAAATAATTTATAACCTCCAATGTGCACGCTGTCATCACGTGGCACCGTCCAGCTACCACCACTACCACACCGATCTCATCACAAAAGCACCACGGTGCGTCACGTTGCACCATCTAGCTACCGCCACTACCACACCGCTGTCATCACACCAGCACCACGGTGCATCACGTGGCACCATCTAGCTTCTACCACTACCACACCGCTGTCATCACACCAGCACCACGGTGCGTCACGTGGCACCGTCTAGCTACTACCACTACCACACCGCTGTCATCACACCAGCACCGCAGTGCATCACGTGGCACCGTCTAGCTACTACCACTACCACACCGCTGTCATCACACCAGCACCACGGTGTGTCACGTGGTACCGTCTAGCTACTATGACTACCACACCGCTGGACATCGCACTACGACACATTTATTTCTAAATATATACACACGTATAATTAAATAAATAAATTACGTATGAATGTGTTTAAGTAAAAATATATTTGATAAATATCTAATATAAATATATGTAATATGTATTTATATGTAAACACATGTATTATATAAATATATACATATATTTAATTATTTGTTATATATTCACGTCATTATATGTTTTATATAAATGTTAATCACATGTAAATATATTTCGAAATAGATATTTCATTAATATGCGTACGTAAATATACGCATCTATATAAAATGTAATTAGATGAATCCTTGCAGTCACGAAAGCTTCAAATCGAAACGTGACGAAATATCAATATATTCATATGAAACTATACATATGTATTTCGCATATTTAAGTGTAAATATAAGCATCTAAAACATAATATACAGTGAATATGTACAACTATAAATATGTATGAGTGTATACATAAATTATCATTGTTTTCCATAGCCGGAATTTGTGTGCGTCGTGTTGACACAAAGACGGGACGACTTTTATTGTTAGTTCCCAGTCCCTGTCACTGTGTGAAGTTCACACAGTGGTTGTTGTTTGGTGGTAGGGGTTGTGGTGGTTGTTGTGGTGATCGTGGTGATTGTGGTGGTTGTTGTGGTTGTTGTGGTGCTGGTGGTGGTTGTTGCGGTGGTGGTTTTAGTTGTGGATTTTGTGGTTGTTGTGGTGGTTATGGTTATTGTGGTGGCTGTTGTGGTGCAGTTTAGGGTGATTGTGGTGGTTGTTGTGGTGGTTGTTAAGGTGCTTGTGGTGGTTGTTGTAGTGGTTGATAGAGTGGTGCTTGTTGTGGTGGTTGTTGTGGTGGTGGTGGCGGTTGTGGTGGTGGTTGTGGTGCTGGTTGTTATGGTGGTTGTGGTGGTTGTTGTGATGGTGGTTGTGGTGGTGGTTGTGGTCTTGGTTGTGGTGGTTGTTGTCGTTGTGGTGGTGGTTGTCGTGGTGGTTGTGGTGGTGGTTTTTAGGGTGTGTGCATGTTGACGTCCCCACGTCCATGACGCAGCAGCAGCAAACTTGAACAGCTCCGATATTGTTGGCGCCTTTTGTGTTTGGCGCCGTCTCTTTATTTGTTTATTAATTTGTAGATATAATTTGCTTGGCAGTGGCTGTGTAAGGGATTTGGTCCTCGCTTTTAATTAATGAACAGCGTTGCGGGATGCAGTGAGCACGAATGACGCTGTACACAACTACATTGTTGTTGTTTTTGTTCTGTATTTTTATTGTAGGATCGACCATTCAAACGTTACAATGCCACTTTCTTACGCGAACATTTATGCTTTATAAAATCAATAATATTATTGTTTTTACTTAACACTGTCGTGACTGCAGGAATTCATATTCTTTGGTTCTTTCGGTAAAGTCACGGAATAGAAAATAAAATAAAAATAGATATGTGATGCCGCCGCCACGGAGCCGATCGGCGGGTGACCCACCTGCGATCTCGCCGCCCCGAGCGGCGAGGCCGACATTGCTCCACCCCACCACCTCCCCACCCCCCCCCACCGGAACACACACGCACGCACTCCCCCCACCATTAGAGCGCGTGGGGAGACACCCTGGCCGACAGGTTTTCACCCAGAAGCCCTCGTAAAGGGATAATCTTCACGGTTTCCTGCGGCCAGGGAATTGGACGGTCTCCTCCGACGCTAACACCCACCGTGGCGCCGTGACTTGAGTAGAAATGACATGTTCACGGCGGGGCTGCCCCGCCACCGCGGTTAGTACGCACCTCACGCACACGGGTCGGCAGGGCAGGCAGGTAGGAGGGCAGAGCCACGAGCGGCGGGAAAGCAGGGTCGCCCTCCGGCTGGAGGGCCGCTGAGCAGGTAAGTTTAGATGCGGACGTCGCTGAAAGCAACGGCCCGGGGGATGCTGGGATACAGATGGGCCTACCGATTGGCGGGTGATCCCAGCGAGCTGATTGGCCCGCGAGTCGGCACTAGGTAGCCCCTTTGATGTAGAAAGAATAAAGCGGGTCAGGGCGAAGGGAAAAAGTGCTCTGGCTACTCGAGTCAACCCCAGGCCCGTCAACTCCCGAGTCCAGCCGCGCGAACGTCTGTGGGACGTATCGACGCGCCGCGAGGACCAGCCGGCAGTGACGACGAACCGTGAGTAAGAGAGAGAGAGAGGGAGTTGGGACTTAGCTTAAGAGCAAAACCGGAGAGGGTAAAGGGGAGAAGGACAGGTAGAGTGTAGTGCCGACTATCGAGAGATAGATTGGTCCTGCCCCGCTGATCCCGACTGACTCGGTTAAATAAGGGCTCGCCGACGCGGTGGAATAAATCGTCGGCGGTTACATAACGGACTGGTGTGGTTTTTGCGAGGGTGTGGAAAGAGAGCGGAAGCGTGGGTGCGCTTGCTGTCGCGGTGGTCGTTACATAACAGACTGGGGTGGTTTTTGCGAGGGTGTGGAAAGAGAGTGGAAGCGTGGGTGCGCTTGCTGTTCTCGGTGGTCGCCGCGTGGGTGGAGCGGCGCCGCGTGGAGTGTGTGCGCTACAAACCGTCGGCTGCGGACTCCCACGTTGCGAGCGGATACCCGTCTCGCACGCATGCCCATCGCATAGCCCTTTAAACCCGTTTAATCCAATCCCCCCAAGCGTCGGAGTGAGCACGAACGGCGTCGCTTACCCTCCGACCTTTAACCCCCCTGTTACCCGCGTGTGATTGGTGCGTGGGACTGCGCGGGCGGGGAGCATCGCGTTTGGGTGCCGGCGAAGCGCTAGCGGGCCCCAGGGCGGTCGAGTGTGATGCCTCACCGGCCGGAAACCCGGACTCGGGGGGGAACAGCACAGGGGGGGGGGAACAGGAGCGCGACGACCTTTCCCCGCCCGGGGAGGAGTGCGGCGGCGGCAGCTCCCACACTAGTGGAGAGTCTGGGAGCGTCGGTACTTCGCGGACAGGGTCGCAGGCAGGAGAGATCCCGGGGACCGGCGACCCTAACAGATAATGACAATCTAATTAAAATTTATCTCCACCTGATGACGAAAGCTTATGTTGCGATCGAAACGTCGTGAGTTTTTGGTTTTAAATTTAAATTTTTCTATTTTATTTTGGTGACTTTACCGAAATAACCAAATAATATAATATTATTGTTGTTGTATCTCTCCTACAACCCATGACACCACCAGTGTATAAATACATCCCAGTTCACCATTGCTAATCACTGCACCCTACACTACAGTCACACTCCTCTGGCAGGGTGAATACATCCACGCTGCCTTCACACACACAGAGCGGTACTTATTTTATCACCCCTCCCCCCTATGAAGGTTGTGAGGATTGTTTACGCTCAACCCCCCACCGTTGTGATGGAGAGCCACGCAGCCCCTAGACACCGACAGCCACCAGCCAGTCACGGGCGTGGCGCTGCGCGTGACGGTGACGAGGGTGGCGAGTGCCGTGCGTCGTGGCGTCTGCCCTCTGCACTGTTCACGTTCACCTCTCTCAGGACGCACCACTCAGATCCACAATCCTCACTGAGTCACCAACATTCCACACCCCCAGCCCAGGGTGTAGGGGCTGAATGAATGTTTGGTGAAACGAGTACAACGGCGCCATGGAGTCGGCACTGTAAAACGACAGCAGCCCCGCGTCCCAGTCCAGGTGGACCCCGACTCTCCGCGGAAGCTGCGGCACCGACAGTGACGTCACTACCCCGCCATGCAGCACTGAGAAGCTGTCGTCAACTTTCTGTAGACACCAGGAGACGTCATTCAGTCCCAGGGCGCACTCAGCACCACGCCCTCTCCGTGGGATCGACCCGTACACGACGCTAACCCGACACCGCCTCGCGCACCCCACGTCCACCTCCCAGTAGTGCTGACCCGATGAGAAGCTCTCAGAGCACAGGGCTTGCGGATGGCACTCAAAGCGGTGTGGGTGATGGGGGCGACCCTGGGGGACATCGCTCCGCGTCGCCGTCCTGAGGTCCGAGGAAATCTGGAGGAGGTCGTGGGCTGAGTTTGTGTCCAGAGTCGGTGAGCGTCCATCTGTGGTGAGTATTCGTGTACACATACTAATATTAGTTAGTATTAGTGTACACACACTAATATTAGTTAGTCTTAGTGTACACATACTAATATTAGTTAGTATTAGTGTACACAAACTAATATTAGTTAGTATTAGTGTACACATATTAATATTAGTTTGTATTAGTGTACACAAATTAATATTGGTTAGCATTAGTGTACACATACTAATATTAGTTAGTATTAGTGTGCACATACTAATATTAGTTAGTATTAGTGTACACATACTAAATTAGTTAGTATTAGTGTACACATACTTATATCAGTCAATACTAGTGTACACATACTAATATTAGTTAGTATTAGTGTACACATACTAAATTAGTTAGTATTAGTGTACACACACTAATATTAGTTAATATTAGTGTACACATACTAAATTAGTTAGTATTAGTGTACACACACTAATATTAGTATTAGTGTACACACACTAATATTAGTTAGTATTAGTGTACACACACTAATATTAGTTAATATTAGTGTACACACACTAATATTAGTTAATATTAGTGTACACATACTAATATTAGTTAGTATTAGTGTACACAAACTAATATTAGTTAGTATTAGTGTACACATATTAATATTAGTTTGTATCAGTGTACACAAATTAATATTGGTTAGTATTAGTGTACACATACTAATATTAGTCAGTACTAGTGTACACATACTAATATTAGTTAGTATTAGTGTACACATAATAATATTAGTTAATATTAGTGTACACATAATAACATTAGTTAGAATTAGTATACACATACTAATATTAGTTAGTATTAGTGCTCACATACTAATATTAGTTACTATTAGTGCTCACATACTAATATTAGTTAGTATTAGTGTACCCATACTAATATTAGTCAGTATTAGTGTACACACACTAATATTAGTTAGTATTACTGTACACATACTAATATTCGTTAGTATTAGTGTACACATACTAATATTAGTTAGTATTAGTGTACACATACTAATATTAGTTAGCATTAGTGTACACACACTAATATTAGTTAGAATTAGTGTGCACATGCTACATTAGTTAGTATTAGTGTTCACACACTAATATTAGTTAGTATTAGGGTTCACACACTAATATTAGTTAGTATTAGGGTACACATACTAAATTAGTTAGTATTAGTGTACACACACTAGTATTAATTAGTATTAGTGTACACACACTATTATTGATACTCCACTCACTCACTCACTCCACTCACTCCACTCACTCACTCACACCACTCACTCACTCACTCCACTCACTCACTCCACTCACTCACTCCACTCACTCACCCCACTCACTCACTCCACTCACTCACTCACTCCACTCACTCACTCACTCCACTCACTCACTCACTCATTCCACTCACTCCACTCATTCACTCCACTCACTCACTCCACTCACTCACTCTACTCCCCCCCCCCTCCCCCGCTGCTGGCCCGTAATGGTCCCCACCCGCTCCTGGTCCATCATGGCCCATGCACCTCCTACGTACATCATGCTCATTTCTATGCTAATTTGTCAAAGCGTTTTGCTTCCTCCCACACAGCTTAAAGGACGCGACCTGGGCTTGGCTGTTTTCACTCAAACGCTGTCCTCATGACAGCACGGTCCCTTCACCTGATGAAGGCCACTTGTGATGTGGCCGAAACGTCGTGATTTTTGTTATTTTATTTTTTACCTATGTGACTTTTACCGAATAGAATCCGCAGACTACCTGCTGGACCTCCTCTTTGTTTCAAAGAACAAATTTGACCTCAGGTGTTCGCTCATCTACCAGCTTCACATTCCCTATTGCCGTACAAAAACCGGAGGAAGGGCCTTTGCTATTGATGCCCCCAGGGTCTGGAATGCTATTGCCAATAAACTGCAACTTGAATCACTACCTACAGTGAGGGAAAAAAGTATTTGATCCCCTGCTGATTTTGTACGTTTGCTCACTGACAAAGAAATGATCAGTATTTAATTTTAATGGTAGGTTTATTTGAACAGTGAGAGACAGAATAACAACAAAATAATCCAGAAAAACGCATTTCAAAAATGCTATCAATTGATTTGCATTTTAATGAGGGAAATACGTATTTGACCCCCTCTCAATCAGAAAGATTCTGGCTCCCAGGTGTCTTTTATACAGGTAACGAGCTGAGATTGGGAGCACACTCTTAAAGGGAGTGCTTCTAATCTCAGCTTGTTACCTGTATAAAAGACACCTGTCCACAGAAGCAATCAATCAATCAGATTCCAAACTCTCCACTATGGCCAAGACCAAAGAGCTCACCAAGGATGTCAGGGACAAGATTGTAGACCTACACAAGGCTGGAATGGGCTACAAAACCATTGCCAAGCAGCTTGGTGAGAAGGTGACAACATTCTCTTTGGTTGTATTCGGTAAAGTCACGTAGATAAAATGAAACAAAATAAAAAAAATTATTAAATCACGACGTTTTGGAGGCAACACAAGCTTCTGTCTTCAGGTGAAAGAGTCAACGCAGAATATCTGTGTCAGGAGCACAGTTCAGAGACAACCGGGGTTATATACAGGTTAAAAGAGGGGGGAGGAGTCAGTAAGGGGGCGTGGGTGGGTGGGAGGGCTGGGTTAAGCAGCCTTTTGATAGGCTGCTGCGGGTAACAACCACTTAGCACTGCACAGGAGTGGGTTAAAAACCCACCTTTTGTTATGCTGCGTGTGGGGTCGGGGGAGATTTTGAAAGCGGGTGCAAACAGCTGAAGCTGCGTGGCGGGTCGGGGGGATTTTGAAAGCGGGTGCAAACGGCTGTTAAATTATAAGGTAGCTGAAGTTTCATATACAACCACTGAGAAAAGGAAATGGCTGTACAAAAAATTGAGAGGCAGCTAACGTTTGACTTGATTTATAACATCTTTCCAGTGATTGCTCAATTTGAAACCATCCTCTCGGTTGAAGTTGTGTCTGTGTTTGTAAATCTGGATGGCCTTGTAGACAAATCTCTGATAATAGCCCGTAGGTTTGCAGAGCACCTTGGTATCGGAGAAAACAATATCATGATCACCCATAGCGTTGTAACAATGATCAGCCACGGCAGAAGAATTCGTTCTGCCGTGTTTCATATCTGATTTGTGCTCCCGAATTCGGTCAGAGATATGTCGCTTTATCTCCCCGATATAGCAGTCCCGCAGGTACAACTCAATTTGTAAACACCGGGGTACTGTAAGTCAGGAAAAACATTTCTTTACTGACGGGATCAGATCACGGATTTTGTGCAATGTGTTGAACTGGACCTGGATCTTGTGTTTGTTTAGAATTTTGGAAATTTTGCAGTCACGAAAGCTTCAAATCTATGGTGACAACAGTTGGTGTGATTATTCGCAAATGGAAGAAACACAAAATAACTGTCAATCTCCCTCAGCCTGGGGCTCCATGCAAGATCTCACCTCGTGGAGTTGCAATGATCATGAGAACGGTGAGGAATCAGCCCAGAACTACACGGGAGGATCCTGTCAATGATCTCAAGGCAGCTGGGACCATAGTCACTTAATAAAACAATTGGAAACACTACGCCGTGAAGGACTGACATCCTGCAGCGCCCGCAAGGTCCGCCTGCTCAAGAAAGCACATATACATGCCCGTCTGAAGTTTGCCAATGAACATCTGAATGATTCAGAGGACAACTGGGTGAAAGTGTTGTGGTCAGATGAGACCAAAATGGAGCTCTTTGGCATCAACTCAACTCGCCCTGTGAGGAGGAGGGAGGAGGGAGGAGGGAGGAGGGAGGAGGGAGGGAGGAGGGAGGAGGAAGGAGGGAGGAGGGAGGAGGAGGGTGCTGCATATGACCCCAAGAACACCATCCCCACCGTCAAACATGGAGGTGGAAACATTATGCTTTGGGGGTGTTTTTCTGCTAAGGGGACAGGACAACTTCACCGCATCAAAGGAACGATGGACGAGGCCATGTACCGTCAAATCTTGGGTGAGAACCTCCTTCCCTCAGCCAGGGCATTGAAAATGGGTCATGGATGGGTATTCCAGCATGACAATGACCCAAAATACACGGCTAAGGCCACAAAGGAGTGGCTCAAGAAGAAGCACATTAAGGTCCTGGAGTGGCCTAGCCAGTCTCCAGACCTTAATCCCATAGAAAATCTGTGGAGGGAGCTGAAGGTTCGAGTTGCCAAACGTCAGCCTCGAAACCTTAATGACTTCCAGAAGATCTGCAAAGAGGAGTGGGACAAAATTATTCCTGAGATGTGTGCAAACCTGGTGGCCAACTACAGGAAACGTCTGACCTCTGTGATTGCCAACAAGGGTTTTGCCACCAAGTACTAAGTCATGTTTTGCAGAGGGGTCAAATACTCATTTCCCTCGTTAAAATGCAAATCAATTTATACCATTTTCCACATGCGTTTTTCTGGATTTTGTTGTTGTTATTCTGTCTCTCAATGTTCAAATAAACCTACCATTAAAATTATAGACTGATCATTTATTAGTCAGTGGGCAAACGTACAAAATCAGCAGGGGATCAAATACTTTTTTCCCTCACTGTATGAGATCTTCACTCAAAACTGCTCTAGAGGAGTTATACACCCCTAGCTGCCACTGCTATTCAGTGGCCTAAAATAAAATAAAATGTTTCGCTCCGGATGACCGCTGCAAAGTATTATCTGTATTTTGATTTAGTGTGCTGATCTTAAACGTGCATTGAAAAATGTGATACTCCGACTGATGCTAATTTTGTTTGTGGAGTGACTCATGCAGCCAGCTGTGGCTCTAGGGTTTGGTGTTACATGTTATTTATGTAGTTTATTGTAAAAAAATTCGGTCACAGTTCCTATGATCACTGTTACATTGCATTTATGGCTTTATTTTGGTGATTTCTAAAAGTTTTTTGGCTTGGACATGTTTTTGTCTATTGTAGTACGAAGTTTAGACTGATGGCCTTAATCTAAGTTTTCCTGTTGTTGTTTGACTTGCATCCCACTGGGATTTTTGCACACAGCGTTGGTGTACGGTGCTATTTCAGGAAAATTTTGATCTTTTTTTTATCCTGGATTTTCTGTTTGCACATGCACAAAGTCACTTTAAGATGTTTTCTTGTTCATGTTATTGTTTTTTGTTTGTTGCGGTTGCACCCGATTCAAGAGCCGAATGGCTCACAGGGCTATACCAAATAAATGAAACTATGAAAACTAAACTATGAAACTAAACTAACTCGCACACTCTCACACCCACACACAGACATTGTGTGTCACAGCCTCGCACACTCTCACATCCACGCACAGACGTCGTGTGTCACAGCCTCGCATACTCTCACATCCACACAAAGACATTGTGTGTCACAGCCTCGCACACTCTCACAACAACAACAACCGCCATTCGCCACTAAGTGGCGGTGACGTCACCACGACGCTTGTGCCAGGCTACGTGCACCCCTTGTGCCAGGCTATGTGCACCCTGAGGCCACGTAAAGTGTCGAACACCCGCTGGCAGGAGGTCACGGGGCAGACCCAGGTCCCACGGGTCGACTGACTGAGATGACTGGCTGATGCACCACCTGTGCCCCCTACTGTGGCAACCTGCTGTGCTTTAGCCACCCGGCGCTCGTTGTTGTGAGCGTCGCTCCTCCGCCCTCCGTTGTTGTTGGAGGGCGACTGCCTCCAACTGCCCAGTAGCGTCCTTCAAGAGCCTCCTCCACAGAGGCCGATCTTGACACCGCTGGTACCAGTCATTGACAAGTCCACTCAGCTCCACGTCCTCCTGTACCACATCACTCCATCTCTTCTCTAGCCCGTGCCGCGCCCGCTTAGCCCCCTCAATCCGGCCGAACAAAAGCTGTTTCGGCATGCGGTGGCTGGGCATGCGGGCTACATGACCCAGCCATCGCAGCCTTCCCCGCTGGAGGTGCTCAACGATGGGACCTTGCCCAGATCTTTCAAGGATTTGTGAGCTCCTCACACAATCCAGTCTGGTTAAACCCAGGATGGATCGTAGGCAGGCCAGCCTAAATGTTTCTAACTGGCAAAGATGTTCCATTAGGGGGGTCCACGTTTAGCAAGCGTAGAGAAGGGAGGTGAATGACCGTGACCGAGAAAACCTGAAGCTTAGTGCGGAGCGACAGACCAGGTAGCTTCCACACAGCGTTACACAACCGATGAAAAGATATTGCCGCTCGACTAATTCGGAGTGAGACCTCTGCTGTTAAACTGGAGCCAGTCATAAGCACACTGCCCAGGTATGGGAAACTCTCCACTCTCTCCACAACTGCCCCATCACCGATTGGGAGTTGTGGGGGTAGAGTGTCCGATGGTACAAAATACCCAGGCAGGTGCTTAGTTTTGGTGGGGCTGCTGGTAAGGCCCCACCTCTTAGTGGCATGCTCCAGTCTCAGCAGCAGCGTCTCCAACTCCTCCTCTGAATGAGCAGCTATTACCAAATCACCAGCATACATAACGTGGTTGAGCAATAGGGAGCCATCCCTTGTCCGCACCCGGGCATTGATCAGCGTCCCATTATATCTGTACCATATGGAGATTCCCCCGGTAGAGCTATTGAAGGCTTCACGAACGACGTGGTCAAAATAGATGTTATATAATGTGGGAGCCAGAGGACATCCCTGTCGCACCCCAAGGTGTACAGGGAATGGCTCTGACTCCCGGCCACGTAGTTTTACCCGGGCCCGCTCACCATCATGAAGGTCATTAATGATCGTGAGCAGAGGGTCAGGTACTCCAAAAGCACGAAGAACAACCCAGATCCCAGGCCTACTGATGGTATAATAGGCCTTGACCAGGTCAATAAAGCAGAGATGTAGGTCTTGTTGGAATTCCCTCCACCTCTGCTGTAGCAGATGGACAGAAAATATGGCATCTGTGCAGGTCCGCCCTTTCCTGAAACCGCATTGGGGCTCCGCAAGCCTCTCCTTAGCGTGTGTGGCAAGGCGATGTTGAATAATCCTTGCCAGGACCTTTCCCGGCACACTGAGGAGTGAGATGCCCCTGTAGTTGTTACAGTCTGTGCGGTCCCCCTTTTCCAATCCTGCGGAACCCGTCCAGTGGTCCAGACTGTTGTTATGATGTCATATAGGGCAGTCTGTGCACAAACGCCGCCCTCCCTCAGCATTTCACTTGAGAGATCATCTCTGCCCGCTGCCTTTCCTGGTCTCAGACTCCGGATCGCCTTCAGTACTTCCTCAACAGATGGCACCTCAGCCAGCCACTCACAGGGGGTGACTTCTTCCAATATTTGAGGCACCGCAGCCTCAGCAGGGTCATCCTCACTTTGTGCCACGATGTTTTTCTGGCTGAGGGATTTTCCCTCCCCCAGGACCTCACAGAAATGCTCAGCAAATCTGCAAACCTGTTCCTGGGGGTCGGAGATTGGGTCACCGTTTTTCCCCCTAATGATGGTAATAGGTGTGGCGCTGCAGATTACTCTTTTGATGGAGTTAAATAGAGATTTGTGATCACGGGCCACTGAGGCAGACTCCATCTCCTCAGCAAGCCGCGACCACCACCCATCCTTGCAGCGCCTCACGGCTCTCCGAACTTCCGAGCGAAGGCTGCGGTAAGCCTCCTCATTCTCTGATGTGGGATTCTGTAGCCGATGACAGTGGGCCTGTCGCTTTTTCTCAACCATCCTGAACACCTCCTCTGTCAGCCAGGGTTTCTGGGGAGGTCTGGACCGCATACCCAAAGCAGCCATTGCAGCTGCATTAGTCACAGTCCTAAACCTCGCCCATTTACCCTCGACATCAAGAGGTGTCGGGGACGATGCCAATCCCAGCCGCAAGCCATGATGAAATTCTCGCTTGCAACTTTCATCAGATAACTGAGACCAGGCCACTTTAGGTTGGAATGGGGTCCTGGGTGTACACCCACCACCAGAGTGGAAGAATGGCAGGCGCATCTTACAGATGACTAGTCGATGGTCAGAGGGCAGATCAGCTCCACGGTAGGTCCTGGTGTCAAGGACATGGGCTCGCATCCGCTGGTCCATCACTATGTAGTCTAGCAGATGTTCTTGCTTGGACCCGGCATGCATCCATGATGTTGTGTGGATGTGCCGATGCCGGAAAAGCATGTTGGTAATTACAAGCCCATGGGCTGCACAAAAATCTAGCAGCCTCCTACCGTTGTTATTGAGCTGATCTGGCCCATGCCCTCCAATCACTCCAGACCAGGTGCCAGTATCATGACCAACTCGGGCATTGAAGTCACCCAACATGATGGCTCTATCCCGAGGGGCCACTTTAGCCAGCACCTGTGACAGGAGGTCATAGAAGGCATCTGACTCATCGGCTTTGCCTGCATCCCTCCACGCCTCCGGTTGATGGGAAGGCGAGCCCAAAGTAGCCTGGGGCTTACAGCTTCCCACACTTCACCGCCATGCTCCCACGCCCCCTTCATTATTTTGTTCAAAAGAAGAGCCACACCCTGTTGTTTGGCAGTCTGCTGCCCTGAGTAGAGGACTGTCCAACCCTGATGGTGGCAGGAGCCAGAGCCGGTCCACCGGACCTCCTGAATGCCACATAGATCCAGGCGGTACCGGTCCAGCTCCCAACAGAGAAGTGTCAGCCTTTCCTCCGCAGTGAGCATTCGAACATTCCACGTGGCCACCCGTAGTGGTTTTTCTTGTTTCTGGAGGAGACCCGAGGGTAGATATTCAATCTCCTGGCTCCGCCAATTAAGGTTTGGCCAGGAGATGTCATAGACGCCTGGCCCCCCGGGGCCTCCGGCACAAGTTTATTAGTTATATACTTAATTCGCGGTTTAGTGGTAATTAATTGAAGGTGGAGGGGTTACCAGCCCCTCGCAACCGTCCAGAGCCCCCGTTTAGCCCCTGTGGTGGACACATATGCCATGAGGGGAGGAGCCAATCACAATTGGACCTCTCCCCACAGCACTGTCCACGACAGAGTTGCCCGGACTCTCACACCCACATACATACGTACATTGTGTGTCACAGCCTCGGACACTCACATCCACACACAGACATTGTGTGTCACAGCCTCGCAAACTGTAACACCCACATACATACATACATTGCGTGTCACAGCCTCGGACACTCACATCCACGCACAGACATTGTGTGTCACAGCCTCGCACACTCTTACATCCACACACATACATTGTGTGTCACAGCCTCGCACAATGTAACACCCACATACATACATATATTGCGTGTCACAGCCTCGGACACTCACATCCACGCACAGACATTGTGTGTCACAGCGTCGCACACTCTCACACCCACACACACAGACATTGTGTGTCACAGCCTCGCACACTCTCGCATCCACACACAGACATTGTGTGTCACTCGCTGCTGGATGAGCGCCTCCCCGCGCCGTGTGCATCCTGGGGGGTTATTTGTTCATACTTCACCGCTCTCGTCGGTGCGTGTTGGCGATGGTGGGGATCGTGACCGTAGAAGCGTTGAGGTACAGTACAACAATGGTTCACGCTGCACTGCCTTCTGCTGGTGTGATGTGTAAACATTCGGCACGAGAGAGACAAAGGCGGCCGGGCGTGGTGCTGGCCACCCACTCCCTCGTGTGTCGTGCCGGCCTTCCTAGGTGCTGCTGCTCGCTAACAGCACTTGCCCCAGTACCCAGCAGTATGGTTCAGTAGAATATTGAAACTGTTAAACTAATTTAATTTCACCAGGTAGGGCCCACTGATCCATGTCGCTCTGTTTCAGAGTCTGCGTCTCTCACCCCGTGGTGGCGTGGATTTCTCCAGGTTCCTCGCGTTTTTCCCTCCACGTTTAGAATAAATTTGCATTCAGAAGATTTGGTTGCTGCTATAAATATCCACGTGATGAGTCACTTCGTAGAGCTGTCATTTGTAATTGGACGCTTCTGACAAAAGAGCAACATGGTTCAGTGGGTTCCTTACCTCGTAAAATAAAATGTTGTTGAAGTTGGGGAGCACAGAAGTGCAGTGCAACACAGTGGGACACGCGGGTGCAAGACTGAGTAACTCACAGACGAGAGGCAGGAATCTGTTCACGACCCTTTCAAGGGAGCGGATCGTGGTGGCGTCCAGTGAAGTGGCAGGTGGGGGTGCAGATTCCTTTGGGAACTTTCTCCTGGGACAACCACCAACAACATCACACACAGCCTCGTTTAACCACAGCATTGGAACACTCAGCAACCATAGCATACACAGCACGTGTCTCACACAGCCCATGTCTTACACGCAGCCCGTGTCTCACACACAGCCCGTATCTCACAGACTGCCTGCATGTCTAACACACACAAACACACCCTGTGTCTAACACACACAGCCCGTGTGTCTACACACACATCCTGTGTTGTGAGTGTTTAATCGTGAGACGTTGAGGATCTGTACCTGCGCGTCTCCTCCAGGTGCCCCTGTGGAAGAGAGAGAGAGTGATCATGAGTGAAGTCTCTACCCTTGGACCACGAGCCCCCTGCCACTACCCGCTCTGTTGTTCTGGACACCCAAACGGCGTCTCCACAGAGGCGCTCCCCACCTGCAGGAAGGCGAGCGAGTCCCTCTCGTGCTGCAGGGCGTGCAGGCGAGCGGCCACCACCTGGAGCTCGCTGATCTCCCGCTTGTGACGAGCGATGCCCTCGTCTATCCGGGACAGGAGCTCGCGCTCCTTCATGGCCACGTGACGTAGAGCCTCCTTCTCGTCCTCGTCCAGAGCCTTCTTTAGGTGGGCAAACTTGCCCGTGATGCGACCCCTGATCCCGGCCACCGATTCCTGCGTAGACGCGGGGACCACAGTTGGCTCCCTGAGCCATAAGCCACTCCGTGTGTGCGTGTGGGCGCCGTGGTGGCTCGGAGATGTTGACTCCCTCGCCTTGTATACAGCAGGTTGTGGCTTCGATCCCGACCCTGACGCCCGTTCAGTTGGAGTTTCTTCTCTCTGTAGTCGTCTGGATTTTTCTCTGGGTCCTCCGGTTTTTGCCTCCACAATTAGAATCGATGCTACGCGTTCAGAGTATTTGGCTGCTATCAATTTCAACATTACAATCTTCCACTTTGTTGAGCTATCATTTGTAATAGCCACGTCGCTTCTGACAAATAAGGGGTCGTCCATAAATGACGTCACGCGATTTTGGCCGATTTTTAACCCCCCCTCCCCCTTTGTCACACGGCGTCACAAAAAGTCAGACCCCCTCAAATATGACGTCAAAAAGCTCTGCCCCGCCCCCCCCAAAACCACATTTATTTTTTTAAAAATAAAACATGCTTCAAATCACGTTAAACTTAAACTATTGTCATTGTAGTGCGTATTTAATGTGGCGCTGCACTCTGATGTTGTACGAGAAAACATGTATTAAAAAGGAGGCTTTGGAAAGCTGGAATTTAGCATAAAATTCACTTGAAAATATTCAACGTCTTACTAAAATTGCAGATGTTCAGAAAATTATATTGAAATTCTCTTATAATTATAAATTAGTAAAATTATTTATAACTATAAAAATACTTTTTGGTTCTTTCGGTTAAGTCACATGGAAAGAAAATAAATTAAATAATAGCATACGACGTTTCGATTACAACACAAGCAATCATCATCAGGTACGAATGAATGAGAAAAACAAACCTCGTAAACTAAGAAGTATAATGCAATACAACACAGAGTCGGCTAACATAACAGTCAACACCCTACCTGGTTGATTACGTTCTTCCAAAGAGTGCTAAATTTGAGAGAGAGACAAAACACAGACACGGAGACACACAGACAGACACACAGCCAGAGAGAGACACACACAGAGACACACAGAGAGAGACACACAGAGACACACAGACAGACACACGGACAGACACGCAAGCAGAGAGAAAGACACAGAGAGAGACACAGAGAGAAACACACACATAGGCACTCAGAGAAACAACACCTCTGTGAAACTTTGTAGTAGAACGAAGCAAAATGGAGAGTACAATTAAAACAATCACATATTCATATTCTAAGTTCTTTCGGTTAAGTCACGTTGCAGGGAAACAATAAAATAATAAAATATATATAAAACAATAAAAATTCTCACGACGTTTCGACCATAACACACCTGAAGACGACCATTTGTGTTATGGTCGAAACGTCGTGAGAATTTTTATTGTTTTATATATATTTTATTATTTTATTGTTTCCCTTCAACGTGACTTTACCGAAAGAACTAAGATTATGAATTACTGCAGTCACGAAAGCTTTAAATCAAAATGTAATCACATATTCATTTCACAGAATGAAAAGCTCTGGTTTAATCATTAGAATCAAATGTTTAACAATCATTAAAAAAAAATGCATGCTTCTCCATTCTCTCATGGAGAAGCAAATGTTCCTTCATGGAATAAATAAAAGATGACCTTAGTTAATTTAAAAAAATCAAATAGTTAATAATGAAAATAAGTCAAAATTAGTGTTGTTATAACAGTTATATTTAATTAATATGTATTTAAAATTGCGAATTTTGATGTGACGTCACATTTCTCCAACCACCCCTCCCCCCTTAGGTGCGTGACGTAATTTATCGATGGCCCCTTTGTAGTGGTCGTTAACCTTTCCTGGTAAAATAAAAAAAAATGTTTTGTCTATGGGTCTCTATGCCTGTTTATGAGTATCAATGGGCCTAATATCTCTATGGGTATGTATGTCTCTCTCGGGGTCTCTGTATCTCTATGGTGTCTATGTATCTCTGAGTGAGTCTTTGATATCTCTATGGGTCTCTAGTATCTATATGGGTGTCTATGTGTAGGGGTGCTATGGGGAATAAACACATGGCACGGGAAGGTGTGGTTCACCCACACCTTGGTGGCTACAACAACGTCCGCTAAGGCTCCAGTGGGTATAAAGTGTGGGGAGCCAGGGAGCTCGGGGCAGAGTGTGGGGCCCGAGGCTGAAGCAACCAGTGAAGAAAGAAGGCCAGCTAGGTGAGACCCTGGAACTCCTGTGACCGCTGCCCTTTTCAGGGCCGGCACAGCAGGCCAGTGGTGCGGCCCCAGAGCCCCAGAGTCAGAGTCCTTCTAAGGGCCGGTCTGGTCGGCGGGGTGCCGAGATCTGTGCCTAACCAGGGCCGGATCTGATAGCCTCCCTTAGAGCCCTACCAGGAGGAACTGGGAGCCTAGAGCTTAGGCTAGAGAGCCTGGGGTGTGTTCCTGAGTTATACGGGTGGAGGGGCCGCTACCCCTTCTAGTGTAACCCTTGTTAAGGTTTAAATAAATAGTGCTGCTTCTATTCTGCCATCTCCGTGTCCTGGAACCCACTACATATGTATCGATATGGGTCTCTATGTATATTTGACTGCTAAAAATTTCCACGTGATAATGATTATGTCAACCACTTGGTTGATCTATAATTCGAGATTTGCCAGGTTACTTTTGAAAAAGAACTACACATCTCAGTGGGCCTTACCTGGTAAAATAATAAAATAACATCCCTGAGTGGTGAATCATGCCCCAGTGACGAGACGCCCATGGGACTGAGACTATTCATGCCAAGGGGGCAAGAGGGGTGCCGCTCTCTTCTTGTTTCTCCCCTAGAGGGCGCTGGGGTCGTGGATGTTGAGACTCGGGCACTCGGAGTCCGGTGGGGGCCCCCTCGTGGGTCCGACGAGATGTGGCGAGGTGTTAACTCCCTCACCTGGTATACATGTGTTGAGGCGTAAATGATGACTCGGAGGCAGATCTTCACGTAGGGGCTTGCGCCAGTTGTTTTATTAAAGACCTTTCTTCACACACGACTCTGTGTACTGCACACTCACTGCTTACACTCCACACCCCAGGGGAAAGGTACTGGGGATTCCCTAGCACACCCGCAGGCTACCCTAGCCTGGTGCCAATTTCCTCCTACCCCGGGGTCCCATCGCTCCCCCGGGGGAAGGGTACTGAGGAGGTCCCTAGTACACCCACAGGCTACCCTAGCCTGGTACCAATTTCCCCCTACCCCGGGGTCCCATCGCTCCCCCGGGGGAATGGTACTGAGGAGGTCCCTAGCACACCCACAGGCTACCCTAGCCTGGTGCCAATTTCCCCCTACCCCGGGGTCCCATCGCTCCCCCAGGGGAAGGGTACTGAGGAGGTCCCTAGCACACCCACAGGCTACCCTAGCCTGGTACCAATTTCCCCCTACCCCGGGGTCCCATCGCTCCCCCAGGGGAAGGGTACTGAGGAGGTCCCTAGCACACCCACATGCTACCCTAGCCTGGTGCCAATTTCCCTCTACTGGGTCCCGACTTCCACCCTTCACGTTCCCGGACTCTCCAGACGACCCTGACCACGTGACGGGTTCCAGCTTAAATCCCCCAGGAGGACATGACGTCACCGTCCATGACATTGGATACTTTGGATACTCGTAACATTTTCGTGGTGGTGGGGTTTGTGTTCCAGTGACCCTCAGTGCTATGTCGCCTGGAGTCTTGTTCTCCTGGTAGGATCTGCCTTGGTTAACAGGTCTGGGCAGAGGTTCCAGACAAATAATGATCCAACAAAACATCCCTTTATAAATGGTTACAAAAATTATAAAATCAAAGATCCTAAACCAGACAAGGTATACCAGGACAACCCCATGGAGCCAGGCCTGGGGGTGGTGTTCACCGAGAAGTGCCTGGTGGCCAGGTGACCACATAACCCGGTTGATTCCTGCCAGAAATGGCTACATGGCGCTGTCCTCTGGGCCCACCATCTGCAGGACTAAGGGTGAGGGGCGGGTGCGATGCCAGTATTGCAGGGAGTGGGATGGTCTCAGACAGACTCAACCTTGGAAATGGAATGTCACTTCACTGGGGGGGGGGGGGGGGGAAGGAGTCGGCACTGGTGGAGGAGGTGGAAAGGTACCGACTAAATATAGTCAGTCTCACCTCCACACACAGCATTGGCAAAGGACGCCAACTTCTCGATCGGGGGTGGTCTCTCCTATTCTGGAGAAACCCCTGGTGAGTGGCCCCGGGCGAGTGTGGGGACATTCACAATCCTGGCTGGGTGCTGTTCAGTTGGAGTTTGTCCAAGTGGATGAGAGGGTCGTCTCAATGAGACGTCGGGTCTCAGAAAGGACAACTCTGACTGTTGTCTGTGCATATGTACCAACAGCAGTTCAGAGTATTTGGCCTTCTTGGAGATGGTGGGTGCAGTGCTCGATCGTGCCACCTACCGACTCCATAGTCTTCCTGGGCGATGTCAATGCTCACGTGGGAAAATATTGAGAAACCTGGAGAGGTATGATTAGGAGGAATGTCTCCCCTGATCTGAATCCGAATGGTGAGATTTAACTGGAATTCTGTGATAGTTACGGAATGTCAATAACAAACACCATGGTCGAACACGAGGATGCTGATATGTGTACTTGGTACCAGCGCACCATGGGCCGAAAGACAATGTTTGACTTTATAGTTGTATTATCAAACCTAAGGACATATGTTATGGACACTCAGGTGAAGAAATGGGCAGAGCTGTCAACTAATCACCGCCTGGTGGTAAGTTACATCTAATGCTTCGGGCAACGACCAGATAGATGTGGAAGGCCCAAACGAATAGTGCAGTTTTTTTGGAAGCGTCTGGCGGAAGACCCAGTGCAGAAAGATTTCAACTTCCACCTCTGGGAAAACTTCTCCTGCACTCCAGAGAAGGTCATGGACATTGAGTCCGAGTGGACGATGTTCAGGACCTCTATTGTGGATGCAACTGCGAAAGCTATTGTCAGAAGGGAGTTAGTGCCTGTGAAAGTGGCAAACATAGGTCCCGCTGGTGGACACCAGTGCTGAGGGACAAGTTGAATAAGCAGACTTTTTCCTAGCTATGCTTGGAAAAAGGTCTCCCGGATCGATTTAGAGGTTCAAGCTTGCCAAGAGCATGGCAGCGGTAGAAATTACTGAAGCAAAAGCCCGAGCAAGGGAGACACTTGGAGAGACCATGGAGAGAGACTACCAGGCAGCCTCAAAGATCTTCTGTCAAACCATCCGACGCATTAGGAAGGGTATATGGGATGTGGCCCCATGTGTTCTCAGTAACATTGAACACAACGAAGGAGATAGTCTAGAGGTGGAAGAAACACTTTGAGGAGCTCCTCAACCCAGTGGACATGCCGTAATCTCAGATGGTAGCCCTGGCAACAGCTGGGGGGATCGGATCCATCACGGCTGCTGAAGTCACTCCGGCGGTCGAGGGCCTTCATAACGGCAAAGCTGCTGGGGTGGACGAGATTCACCCAGAGTTGTTTAAAGCGCTGGACCGTGTAGGAGTGCCTTTTCAATGTTGCATGGAAGGTCGGTACAGTACCTCTGGATTGGTAAACTGGAGTCGTGGTGCCGATTTTAAAGGTAGGGGACTAGAGGGTCTGCTCCAACTACAGAGGGATCACACTCTTCAGCGTCCCAGGTAAAGCCAATGCTAGAGTGTTGGAGAGGAGTTTCTTGCCGGTTGGTTGATCCTCAGATTCAGGAGGAACAATGCGAAATCCGTCAAGGTTGTGAACAATGGACCAGCTCTTTTCCTTCTCACAGATATTTGAGGGGTCATGTGGGTATACTGCTCCAGTCTACCTTTGCTATGTAGACTTGGAGAAAGCATATGACCGTGTTCCCTGACATATATTGTGGGAGGTGCTGCGGGAGAATGATGTACCGGTGCCGCTTTTGTGTGGTATCCAGTCCCATTATTCCAGAGTGAGAACTGTGTCCGTATTCTTGGTGTTAAATCAAGGTCATTCACTGTAGGTGTTGGACTCTGCCAAGGGTGCGACTTGTATCTACTCCTTTTTGTGATTTTAATAGACATAATATCAAGGCACAGTCCGAGTATGGAGAGTATTCAGTACGTGGGCATGGAAGTGGCATAGCTGTTTTTTGCAGATGACTTCCTCTTTGCCTCGTCAGTCTGTGATCTCCAGCGTGCACTGGAACAGTTTGATGCTGAGTGTAAAGTGGCTGGGATGAGGATCAGCACTTCAAAATCTGAAGTCATGGTTCACTCCCGGCAGACGTTGGATTATTCTCTCCCTGTGAGGGGGGAAAAGCTGCCCTTTGTGAACAAGTTTAAATAACTCGGGGTTTCTATCCCAAGTGATGGTAATTGGGAGCAGGAGATTGGACGGTGGATTGGTGCGGCATCCGCAGTGTTGCAGGCACTGTACCATTCCATGGTAGTGAAGCGGGAGGTGAGTTCTCGAACAAAGCTCTTGCTTTACAGGTCAATCTACGTTCCCACCATCACCTATTGTCATGAGCTTTAGGTGATGACCGAAAGGATGAGATAGCGGGTACAAGGAACCAAAATGAGGTTTTTCCACAGGGTTGCTGGGCTCACTCTCCGTGATTGGGTGAGGAGCTGGGTAATCTGGGAAACTCTCAGAGTGGGGCCGCTGCTCCTCCGGATCGAGAGGAGCCAGTTAAGGTAATTTGGACACCTGGTATGGATGCTCCTTGGTAGTCTTCCCCTGGAACTCTCCTGGGAATGTTTCACTGGTTGAAGACTGGGGCTGACCCAGGACACGTTGGCGGAACTATGTCACTCGGCTGGCCTGGAACACCTGGGAATTCCCCAGGAAGTGCTAGAATCTGTCACCAGGGAAAGGGAAGTCTAGACCGCGCTACTCAACATTCTGCTGCCGCGACCCTCACCAGGACAAGTGGATTGAGAAACGAACGAACGAAGTCATGCATGCGACAATACAAACTGGCTCATAGCAATATCGTTGAAGACATATCAAAAGAAGATTCAATTATTTTTTTATCTGGAGCATTAAAATGTACTACATGAAAAGAGTTAAACACTAATACATCATGATTCGTGCATATTAAATTTAGAACGTTTTAAATAATCATTGGCTCTACGTTGTGTCTGCTTTAGAGGTAGGTGCATGTCATGAGAGCAAAAGTGTTTCCTGCATTCTGTGTATTCTCTTGAAGTTGCTTCTCTGGTATTTATTCTAGCATTCAACAGCCGATTTCCTGTCGTATTTTATCGTCATCTTCACTCGTTTAATGTCGGGTTCATATTTCAATACAATCGTTGCTCCATACTGCTTTATTTTATCTGATCCATTGCAAGTCATCCGAGCTATCTTGCGACGTGCTTTGAAGTCTCACAGGAGATCAACTTTTTTTTGTGTAAAAGGTTGCATAAAAAAAAACCGTTTCAATCACCCATAGCTATATAATGCAATGTCCTGCACAGTTATTAGACACTGACTCTAGCCTAACAGAGTTCACTTGAACCTACGGAGTTATCCTCAAGGGGAGAGTCACAGACTTCACTCAGGGTGGAGGTCACAAGACCACAGAGGCCACGCGCGGTACCTGCACGGCCTTGCGAGTGGCCTTCATCCGTCCCACGGACGCCACCGCCTTTTTCCTGTCATCCTCCACTGCTCGCATCTCCTCACCGACTCTACCCTGCAAGAGGCGAAGTCATCAAAGGAGACTCCACTCCATACAGAGCCCTCCACGGTGACAGTTCTGAATAGCCCACCAAAAGCGTGGTGAGGAAGTCAGCTTGGACTGACTGAAAAAGTTTAATAGTCGAGGGACCTGTGGACAGAGAATCAACCTACGGTGATGTTTGTTGTATGAGATGTTTCTATTATTCCCAGGTGACAGGTTTTTTTTTTAGTCAGCTCTTGTAGAAGTATCAGAATTAGTATATGTATTCATACTAAAACATGATAGCAGTGCAAAGTACAAGAAAGGTAAAAAAAATCAACCAATAACCTACAACTAAGCCACCTCCATCCTACCAGGCAAAGCCCACCAAGGTATTAATTATTATTTTTAGAAACGATCTGCCCACAAATGATAACTCATCAAAGTGGTTTATCATGTGGAAATGTATAGCTGCCGAATCATCTCAATGTATGTTTTTTTCTGCACCTCAGTGGTTCTCACTGTCGGCATGCGGGCCTCACCTTCCGTGTCTTATGCTCGTTCTCCAGCGTGTCAACATAATGCCCTTTATGTTCTCCAGTAAAGGCGCAGACTGTGCACACTAGGCTGAGGTCTTGCTTGCAGTAGAATATGAGCTCCTGTTTGTGCCTCTTGCACTTGCGTTCTTCAGGGTTCACATCTGGTGAAACCAGGACGTGATCGTTAAACTTCGTCTTTTCCAGGTGAGGCGCGAGGTGCATCCTGCAGAAGGACGTGTCGCACTTGAGGCAGGTCTTCACTGCAGGCGTCTTGCCTTTTGGGCAGTTGTCACAGAAAACAACACCGCCAGCAGCAGCAGCAACCATGGTCTCAGTCACTCGCAGCTGATCTATGAGGTTGGCGATCGTCACGTTCCTGGTCAGTTGGGGTCGTAGAGGGAAGGTCTTGCGGCACTGCGGGCAGCAGTAGAAGTCTGTCTCCTTCCAGGCATCCTCCAGGCACTGGAGGCAGAACGAGTGGCCGCAGCTGAGTGTGGAGGGGCAGTCAAACGTGTCCAGGCAGATGGAGCAGGTCAACTCGCGGTCCACGTTCTCAGTGGGAGCTGCGCTCGCCATGACCCGAGGATACACCCAAAATAGTTCCTCACTATGGCTCAGAGAATATATTTCAACAAAAATACTTTATGTTTATAATATCGTGAGATGTTGATTACCATTGACGAGGTTTGTTCTGTTCAGGAGACGCCGTGTGAGCAGCTCACACAAAAAGAGAGACGAGCAAGGAAATGAACTTGACTTCACTTGCAGTTAAGTTATAAAAACCTCGAGACACGCCCTGGAATGTTCCACACGGCGGCTGGGCTCACCTGTATAGACGTGGCGTTACAGTCACGCACTGTTAGCTAAAACTTATTTTTGCGTTTAGTTGTCCTTCCCCTGCACTTCCGATTAGCACGGTTGGCTAAGTATTGTGTGGAAGAAGTTCAACATACATACATAGCTTTGACCGGTCTCAAGTGATATAATTTTTATACAAACAAAACCCAGCAGCAGCAGCCAGGGACACAGCAATAATGGTTTGTCCCACAAGCTGATTTACCGGCAAGGGTCAGGCTGTGTGCATTGCACAATGGAACCGCACCTTGTGCAAACATTCTGACGTAAAGGTGAACTTGCTTTTTATATCTGTCTTTATCCATGTTTTCTTGCAAGGCCTGTTTGTTTAAGCTTCACAGTCTGTAATGGTCTTAAACCTTTATCAACTAATATTTTAACTACTGGCTTCATGCACCCTCTATTCATCTGTCATTTTTTTCTTTTTTTATTCCTATGACACCTTTTATTCTGAGTGGACGGTGGTTGTAAGTATGTTGAACTTCTCTTTCACCGTACGTCGTCAACCGTGCTAATCGAAGGTGTGTGGGTGTGTAGGTTGGTGATTGGTTTAGTGTGTGGGTGAGTGGTTGGGTGAGTGGTTTGGTGAGTGGGTGTGTGGGTGAGTGGTTGAGTGAGTGATTGGATGAGTGGGTATGTAGGTGGGTGTGTGGGTGTGTATGCATGTTGAACATTTCGCAGCGTACGTAGCCACTCATGCTAATCGAAGGTGCGAGTGGGTGGTGGTGGAGGTTGACTGAGTGGGGGGATTATTTGCTGAGAGGGGAGACAGATGGGCAGGAGGATGGCGTGAAGGGTGGGCGAGCAGGCGGTGAGGGTGGGTGGCTGAGAGGGCGTGCGGCAGAGTGATTGGGTCCCCTGGGTGGGTGGCCTCACGCTTGGCAACAGCGAACAGCCTCTGGCTAAACAAACATCGTGGTTCATTTAAGTTCATTATCTGTATGACTTTCACCGTCCATTTTCCTATTATGCGTAAAAAAATCAAGGATTTAAATCTTCATAACCTAAACAATATATATTCATCACCTATTGTTAATGTTAAGATTTTAGATCCTGGACTCGCTGAGTTTGGACGATTCTATAAATATATATTTTTTACCAGGTAAGGCTCACTGAGGTATATAGCTCTTTTCAGAAGCGACCTGGCCACAATTGATAGCTCAACGACGTGGCTTATTACGTGGACATTTTTCGTAGCCACACACTCTAAACGCATGTTTCTAAGTGTGTGTGTGTGTGGGGGGGGGGAAATGGAGAACCCGGAGACAAATTCACGCGACTACGGGGAGAGAGACACGCAAACTCCATGTGCATGTACAGGCGTCAGGGTCGGGATCGAACTGACGACCTTCTGTATACCTGGCGAGGTAGTTAACATCTCATAGCCACCGCAGCGTGATGTAAAAAATAATCACAGAGCAGCGACAACGAACAAGGAAACGAACTAAATTCACCTGCAGCTAAATTATAAACACCACGAGACGCGCCCTGGAATGTTGCACGCGGCAGCGCGTACTCACCTGTGTAGAAGTGGCGTTACATTCACACACACAGTGTCAAGGTTAAAGAGTCGCAATTGATATATTAAACACAAACCCCACGGTAACCATGAAAAAGGTGATGGTTTGTCATAAAGACTGGTTACACCGGCTTGGGTGAGGCTGGGGGTTTCACTGTAAAACTCACCGTGTAAAGTATTATTAAAGCTTTTAAATTACTAAAATTATAAATAGGCTTTCGCGACCAATATTATCCATTAAGCTTGTTTTGGGTTAGATCGCGTAAATATAAAAATGTCGTTGAATCCGCCACCACCCAACACAACCAATGAGTAAAGTTTGTCACATAAGCAAAAAAACATTCTGGCTAGGGTGAGGCTGTGCGTTTTGTCCAGCAAACCACACAGCTGTCAATTGGTATTCAAGGTTTAAAAATATTCCCCTAAACCAAGGGGTTCAGAAACCAAAACAACAAGGAGAGACATTTTTTTTAGGTTTTGAAAATTCGGTAAGTAAAATAAAAACCAAACAACTCATTATTTCAAGAGCGACAATGCAACGTGGTGTGAGTACGAGAGACGGTGGTGGTGGTCCTTGATAAATAAAAACGTGGTGTGAGTAAGAGAGATGGTGGTGGTGATGGTCCGTGATAAATAAGAACGTGTTGTCAGTACGAGAGACGGTGGTGGTGGTCCTTCATAAATAAAAAACGTCTCACGAAGCAGCGGTCCCTCAAAGAGCCGCACGCCACTACGGAGCTATAGGTTGCTGACCCCGTGCCCTGAACCAACTGGCGTGACTGTCAAGTAATACTAATTTCATGAATATAATTGTATGAATCTTTTTATATTAATTTAATTATTATGCAAATGGAAATGGATAATAAAAAATAATTTAGCGGTTTTTGTATGTATTAACTTAATTATAATTAAATAACTGTTTCATACCGGCACCTAAATACTAATTAAATAATGGATATGTGTGCTGTTATACTTTGACGCTAATAATGCAATACTAGTATTTTAATATTTTAATAATACATTTCTACTGATTACATAATCATTCAGTAATGGTAATATAATAATTAACATTTACAAAGCACCCTTAAACAATCGCTCTCGGGGTGATATGCATGTTAATGCAGAAAATAGTGAACATCACCCAAGGAAAGAAGTGAGAAGGACATTTAAATATCACTAAAGGGAGAAAGCTATTTTAAACAGAGACAGCTTTAGTGGAGATGTGAAGATGAGCAGTGTCTCGGAAGTCTCCTTGACCTCGAAGGGCAACGAGTTCCAGAGTTTAAGTGCCGCGATTGCCAAGGCACCGTCACCCCCCACGTGTGTAGCCTAGAGACCGTGGGACGGTGAGCAATGCAAAAAAGCTGAGGATCTTGACGATCTTGATGGAGTATTCGTGGCTGAAGGAGGTCATGGATGTAGTGAGGAGCAAGTCCATTTAAGGCGAAGGCGAGTCGGTTGACGCTGCTTTTTTCCCGTTGCTATCATTGCCTCTTCTTTCTGCGAGGATCTGTGTTTATGCTTTGCAGTTCTTTCTTGGTCTCATTATCTCCATCAGAATATCTGCGAAACTGGTTTATTCCTGGGGGAGATGTTCTCCCTGCTTAATGGCGGCTGGTGAGTGGTGTGTGTGTGGTGAGTAGTTTGTGTGGATGGTGAGTAGTGAGTAATGTGTGTGGATGGTGAGGAGTGTGTGTGCATATGAGATGGTGAGTAGTGTGTGTGGTGATTAGTTTGTGTGGATGGTGAGTACTGTGTGAATGGTGAGTGGTGAGTAATGTGTGTGGATGGTGGATGGCGAGTAGTGTGTGTCCTTATGAGATGGTGAGTAATGTTTGTGTATATCGGCTGGTTTGTCGTGTGTAGATGGTGAGTGGTGAGTATTTGTATCAGGGCTCGCAGACAGACAAGAAACGTGGATGTAAAATTACTTTACACAGGGTTACAAACCTCACGAGGCACCCCATGGAATGTGCTCAGATGTTTAAGGAATGTAAAAACAAGCCCCGCATCACACAAACCTGTCTAGATGTACCTGTAAATTCGCGCCGTTGGCTTTAACCAGTGCCAACAATGAACTTTGTAAGAACATTATCACAATCGTGAAAATAACACATCCTGAGATGCGGGCTTTCGACTCCAAGCAGTCGCCTGTGATTAAACGCGGTTCTCCGGTGAAACGAGTTTATGGTTTAAGCCCCATTATTAATGCCAGGCATGAACACAAACGCATACAGAGTTTGGCTCTGCGATTCATTTTACCAAAGTCCAGCTGTGAGCATTGTAAAGTAGTGGGTTTACCACCGTGCGTCAAACATCGACAATGCAGCTGGGGTGGGTTGGTAATTTCTGCCTCCTGGTCGAGATGATAACAGCATTTGGCGATGCATCGTTGGCGGTGGTGTGCAGGTACAACTAACACAACACATTTACAATAACTGTGTTTCAAACCTCTGATAAGCACGGTTGGCTACGTATGGTGCGAAAGAGGTTCAACATAAATGCAACTATACAGCACTAACATACAATACACGACGGCACAGTATACACTACGCTACAGATCACACACGATACACGATTATACAATAAACTACAATACAGGACACCACTATACTACAATGACTACATTGACAACATTCACACGTTCCGTAAAAACACCAATATATTCGGCCAGCATCAGGTGGAGAGATGTTATCTGCCTCGCATCGTATGTATGAGTTTATTGGTTCGAACCCGACCCTGACACCTGTATATTTGGAGTTTCAATGCTCTCCCCGTAGTCGCATGAATTTTTTTCCGGGTCCTCTGGTTTTTTCCTCCACATTTAGAAACACGCGTTTAGAGAATTTGGCTGCTATACATTTCCACGTGATAAACAACTTTGTTGAGATGTCATTTGTGGCCAGGTCGCGTCTGATAAAGAGCTATATAGCTCAGTGGACCTTACTGGGAATATAAATATAGTAGATTAAGAGTTTACTTCTACGATTGTCACTTATTGGGTCCAGCTTAGAGGCAGTATCCTTTTTGTAGCAATACACTTCGAGTGCCAATATCTCATCTCTGTCAGTCTCTTTTAATGTCCAAGTCTCGCAGGAATACAAAGCTGTACTGAACACGCATGTTCTTAAGATGTTAAGTTTGGTCTCGTAGCTGATTTGCTTGCTTCTCCAAATATTATTGCATCCTGCCGTTCCTCTCTTTGGCTTTGCGATCCTCGCTCTTATTGCGCCTTTTGTGCAGTCTTTGTCCCATGTTAGTAGACTGCCCGAGCATACAAATTAATTTACATTCGCAATCTTGTTGCTTTTTTAGTACTTCTTGCTCAATGCCCTCGCTTCTGAACATCATCGTCTTTGCTTTGTCCACGTCAATCCTCCGTCCTGCATAATTTCCTTACTAATTCGGGGTATGAACACTTCCCTGCAGTACAACTACGCAGCTTTCTTCCATCCCATCTACGTCGTCTGCGAATCTCGCATTATTTATTCCTTCTCCTTACACAGATATTTATTTTTCCTGTGTCGTTCTTAGAATGGCATCCATAACTCTTTCC